GTCCCCGCGGTGCCCCCGCTCCGCCGGGGGGGTGCCGGGGGTCACGGACGGCCCGGGGCGCGGCCCCTTTGTCCCGGCGGCGGGGGCAGCGCGGCCCCGCGGGCTCGGCCCGCGCCGCGCCCCAGGCAAAGTTCCCGCGGCTGTCACGGCGCTGGCACAGCCCCGGCGGGTCCGGGACCTCCGCCCCCCCGGACGGGCGCGGGGCCTCTCGGCGGGTCCTCCCGGGGCGAGGAGCGCCTGCCCTGCCCTGGGAGCGCTTCCCTGCCGGGTCCCCGGGGAGCGGGTCCGCGAGTCCGGAGGGAACGTGGCGGAGCCCCCGGGCGCTCCCGGGTAAGGGGAAGAAGTCTGGCTGCTCCTTTCTGTTTAACTAGGGAGTCGTGACTCAGTGGCAGTGTTCGGGCAGATCGCAAAAGCTGCTGCATTTCCAGTCTCTGTTGAACAGGAGGAAGGAAGAGGGTGTGTGGGGAGCAAGGGAATTAGGAATTACAGAGATTGTGCATATGACATCACCGTGGCTGGACGTGGGTAATTTATACTCTGGCTGTGCAGGGCGCTCGGTTATAGCTGCGGACTCATTACAGCGCTGTTCCCTGTCGCGTAGCTCTCGGTGTGCCCGATTTGCTTTCCTTGGGCTCATGGGAAAGTGCGCGTTTGCTGCTCAGATTGCTCCCAGTTACACCTGGGGCACTGGTGCCACACAGACTCGCTCCGTAATGCATCTCCTCCCCAGACGTGCCTCGAGAGAGCTGGCAGGGCTGTGCTGTGCTGTGGGGAGTTACCAGACGTGTAACAGGTTAGGGGTGCTCCTGTCTGGCCGTGTGTTCACGTGGTGCTGTACCCGTACAGGGTAACAGCTTATGATATTCAAAACTTAATTTAATTAACAAGCGTCTTGCTGTTCCGCTTTGTAATTATAACCACACCTATACGATGTCTGTTTAGTTGAAAAAAGGTAGCCCGCCTGACATCTTTTGTGTACGATGCATGCAATAACAGTAATCACTGTCATCCATACCTGAACTGAAGGAAAAATTTTTTGCTGTCAAACTGGCAGCAGCAGAGTGTGAGGAAACCTTTGG